GTCCTGGTTCGTGTCTCCAACCGGGACTATAGGTCAAACCCCTTTAGTACCGGTTCGGTTAGCCCCGGTTTGTGCCACGAACCAGTACTAAAGGTGATCGCGGGGCCCAGGCCTGACGCCAGCCTGCCACCACCCCTTTAGTACCGGTTCGTGGCACGAACCGGTATTAAAGGGTCAAAATGAACCGGCATTAATGCATAGCCGTTCGAACCGGCACTAATGGTACCATTAATACCGGGCCGAAATCGAACTGGGACTATTGTGTCTCACATTAGGTGCTTTTTCTACTAGTGTACACTACCGCCCGATCCTATGAGGGTCTATTGTTTGAGGAAGGTTTCTGGCATTACCACACAATGATATGACGAGTGACATCTTGCAGGATGCAGGAGATGGTCGTGTCTTATCGAGGGTATGCAGGACGATGCAGATACCAACATGGATCATGGCACGCAAAGGGTAGTCCCGGCCATGGGTATCGTCAAGATTATGTCCTACGCAGATTTTGAGAATATTTCGAAAAAGTTGTAATGTAGACTATTGACAAACCAAACCGTCTCCGAGCAAGAAACTAGGTTTCAAGAGGGAACGTGTCCGGTTTGCATGCGAAGCTAGCGCTGCTTCCTTTGTTGGCCTTCAAATTTTGTGCAAACTCAACAAATACTATTACATGAAACATGTCAATATGTAACATTTTTCTGGGTCCGTTTGCTATAAAGACATTAAGTGCATTTCCATGTATTTAATGGACATCGTTAAAATTTAAACTGCATGTACATGAAGTTATGGCCGAAAGTTGGTTGAAATACATTATTGATGGTCTTTTGCATATATTTAACCAAAATACCACCGAATAACAGTAGTCCCATATCCAAGACCCGGCCACTGAAATGTAGGTTATTGCCATTTTAGTTGTCAGAAATTTGAACAAAGTCAAAAATTTAAAGACTTGACATGGTGTCATTATATGGCCTCCAGAGACTGTGATAAAATTTTAGATTGTTTCGCAAAAGTTGACAAGTAGATTACTTACAAACCGTGCCATTTTTTAGGAAGAAAGTAGGTTTTGAGAGGGCACAAATCCGGTTTGCATTGGAAGCGACCGTTGCTTCTCTGTTGGGCTTGAACTTTTTCCCGCACTGAACACACACCATTACATGTAACATGTCAAAAATTAGCATTTTGCTAGGATTGTTTGGTATATTTAAACTACAAAGTGTATTTCTAGTCATTTACTGAATATAATTCAATTTTGAACTCCAGATACATGAAATAATGGACAAAAGTGGGTTGAAAAACATTGTCTGTGGTCTTTAGTATAAGTTTTGCCCATATAATACAAAATAAAAGTTGTCCCAAAAATGAGGGGGGCAAGACCCGGCCACAGACATGTAGGCTATTCCCATTTTAATTCTAATGATATGGTCCCTAGAGGATATGGCAAAAAAATATAATATTATGCAAAAGTTGTCATGTTGATTACTTACAAACCGGACAAGCCCTGAGGAAGGAAGTGGGTTTTGTGAAGAAACGAACCAAACACTATTATCTGTGAAATTTCAAAATTTGTCATTTTCCTTGTCCATTATCAATATTTAAACCGTTACGGGCATTTACCTACAATAAATACATAGAAACTTAATGTCCTAAAAATAGCAAATTAACCGTCAAAAGTGTGAAACTTTTAGAGCATCTACAATCGCGTACAAATATGCCCCCTCCCCCCTATATGTCTGACGCGTCCGTGGAACGGAGCCGGTGCACCCTTCATTTTTCGGACGCTGCATCGACACCCCTCATATGCAAACCCCTATTTCCATACGAATCCATGCAACCTAAAATTCATCATACGTTCATCATCATACGTACATAAAACAAGGTCCATTCGAACTAAAACTATCTTACTTCAACTCTGTAGGAGACGTATATGACCTTGTGCCCGACAGACTGGCGGCCTCATGGTCATTTGCGGTGGGGCGCAGCTCCGGCTTCTGTTACTCGTCATCCTTGTTGGCGAAGAGTTGCTCCCGCCTCATGTCAGCGAGATGGATACGATGGAGGTTCATCGCCATCTCCCGCTCGGATTGGGTCGAGTTGAGTATGGCTGCTTGCTTCACCTCGAACTGCGCTGCCGCCTCCGCCTGTCCATGCAAAAGCCATCGGGCTCGGCCTCCATCCCAACGCCTCCTACAGCCCCTCCTACATGTCCTCCATGCCAACCTCATATTCCTCCTCTGAACATCCGAGGTACTGAAAAATAAAACTCTGCATCTCCTATATAAACCAGAAACCCTGAAAAATTTCAAAAAGAAAAACCTCGTAGGCATTGAGCGTGCTCACGTGCGTCAAGAGCACAACGACTGAAACGCGTCAATCGGACCCCCAATGCAAAGTCCCTCTCCACCAACACAGATTCGAACCCGCTCGAGAAATCACCATGCAAAAGCAAGCTGTGTCTCTCTCCACACAAGAGATTGCCTCTGTCCTTCTACCAACGTACGGAACCGCGTAAAGCCCACTTTTCCAAGAAGGAACCGCGAAGCAATCCCACCGTCCAGCATCTTCGTTGCCCAGCAGGTCATACGCTCCGTCTCATCTCATCTCACTATATAAGTCGAGCAGTGGAGCCTTCTCGGCGCATCATCCTTGTCGCCGTCACCATTCGCTTTGCTCCTCCCCTTCCGCCACACCCACGAAAACCCTACCCTCCGAAGGCTGCTTCCCTGGTCATCGCATCGCCGGGAGAGACGATGTCCAGGCACCAGAAGGGCGGGGACATCGAGGCGGGGACCTCCGGTGGCACTGCCATGGCACCGCCGCCAGCGCCGGCCCAGGTGCTGTACCCCTGGATGGCGGAGAGCCCCGAGCTGCGCTGGGCGCTCATCCGGAAGATCTACGTCATCCTCTCCCTGCAGCTTCTGCTCACCGCCGTCGTCGCGGCCGTCGTCGTCAAGGTCTGGGCCATCCCGCACTTCTTCGTCTCCTCCTACGCCGGCCTCGGGCTCTACATCTCCATCCTCATCTTCCCCTTCATCGGTGAGAATTCAAACTACCACCATATTTTCTGTTAGGAATTTGTCGCTGCAGTTTCGATCCGTCCGATTATGGGGTTTCCTTCGCTGCGAGCGTCTCGAATATATTCCATTCACTACTGTTGCATTTACTAGAAGGGGAAGTTGTGGCCGTTAATTTTTGAGGGGCTTGGTGAGAGGACAGGACGAGATAGCTTTCCCTTTGCGTGTTCTGCTCTGAATTACCTTTGGATGCCGTCGCTTCCCTGCAAAGCTATGGATGTGTTGTACACTTGTACTTACAACTCCAGATTTTTGCAGTGAATAATGTTGCTTTACTAGACTAGAATGGGACGTGGTTGCCTTGTGAATTGCAGTGCTGTGCCCGTTGCTAAAATGCTTGTTAATTTTTTGTATGCAGTGCTGTGCCCGTTGTACTGCTACCGTCAGAAGCACCCAGTGAACCTGCTGCTGCTCGGCGTCTTCACAGTGGCCATTAGCTTCGCTGTGGGCATGACATGTGCCTTCACTAGCGGTATTTCTCTTCCCACCAGAATTCTGTTCCTGCCTGCAGATCCTAACATTTTCTTGAGTCTTCTAATGCCCCTCTCGTTGTGTCAATTCATTACACGTGCATGACTAGTAAGCATGTTAGTCACCATGTACGGCAATTGGATAGTTGCTGCCAATTTGCCATGGCCATGCAAATGTTAGGCAACCCATGTGAGTGTAGTTGATGCATTTTCCCGGTTTGTGTTGGGGGCCAAGTTGTACCCTGTTTGTCACCTTTTATGTTATGCTTGTCTGAGTTAAGCATTTGTGATATGATTGTCAGATTTTAGCATGCACGTGCTTTATTGTTTGGTCAAATTTACATGAAAGTTTCTGTGGTAAAAAAGATGCATGAGATGACAAGAAAGCAATTAGTTCATTTAATTAGTAGCTAACTTTATGAGTTCTATATTATGAAATAAAAAAGCGCTAAAATAATCCTACATGTGCACAGGCAAGGTCATTTTGGAGGCTGCGATTCTTACAATGGTGGTTGTCTTGAGCCTGACTGCTTACACTTTCTGGGCTGTAAAGAAGGGCAAGGACTTCAGCTTCCTTGGTCCTTTCTTATTTGCTTCTCTTGTGATGTTGCTCGTCTTTGGTTTCATTCAGGTCAGATACCGTTCGGTGTTTTTTAGAACGAAGACGCCAGACCGTTCATTTATCAGTCTTCTCTATTCTACAATCAGTCAATACTGATCATGGCTTCTCTAAATATCCAGATCCTCTTCCCGCTGGGCAAGCTCTCTCACATGATCTACGGTGCGCTGGCGGCACTCATCTTCAGTGGCTACATTGTCTATGACACGGGCAACATCATCAAGCGTTACACCTATGACGAGTATGTCTGGGCCGCCGTCTCGCTCTACCTTGACATTATCAATCTGTTCCTCGCCCTGCTGACCCTGTTCAGAGCGGGTGACAGCTAAAGCGCATCGCCCTGCCCCCTGTTCACAAGACCTCAACTTGAAGCATTGTATAGGCTGGTCTTGCTTGCACGGTGAAAATGTTGCGTAGTAGTTTGTTAGTTGAGTTGATCCCTAGCTAAGAGAGGAAACATAAGAAAACTGCTGTGTGTGGGTTCTATGGATGGTGCATGTGATGTTGACATGGATGGTGTACTGCTGCGTTTATGCATGATATCATTTCTAACTAGTAGTACTCTATAACGGTTTCCGATATATTATATCATTTGAGTGGCCACATGATTTCTGGACGAGTACAATATTGCATCCCAGCACCTATGAATTGGTCTCTTGGCCCGTCTACGTTTGGATGGCGTTCTCCAATAGCAATAAATCAATGAGAGTCCGTTCTCACTCATGTATAAACAACCTTGAATGCCTTTTCCCTTTGGCAACACGTCGAATTGGGACTGTTCAATAGCCAATGACTTGGTAATGTACATACATTCAAAGAAGATGAGGGTGCGGCCGGTTCATCACTCCCGAGAGCAAACCCCCTGTGTGCTCCTCGGCGCGGCGGCGAGCTCTGATGGGAGCTTCTTGTGCCACGTCACACACTCGTGCTCCATGCCGTTGGCGGACGAGACGGGGACGTGGCGACAACTCTGATGGGCGGAGATACAGGGGAAATGAAGGCACCTGAGGTTTGAGAGCCACTGGTCGGCTTTTAATAGCGTGGACGGGGCAGGGGAGCAATGCTAGGTTCACGGGGGATTATTTTTCACGGGATCAACGGACTGGCTAACC